AAAACCAACTAAATTGAAATCAATTTTCAAAAGTAGCTACATATAGCAAAAACATTTTTAACAATATAGCAATTAAATTAGCAAAAACTAAAATCATTTATTATATTAGAATTTATATTTAACAATATAGATAACTTATTATATTACTGATAATATAACAATCTTGCATTTGAACAACCAACAAGAAGATCTATTAAAAACATCTGCAATGCCCAAAATATTGTAATGTGGTTATCTCAATATTATATAAAAAATACTATACTAATAGCTATACAAATAGCTATACAAATTAACTAAAATGCAACATAAACTTATCTTAATAACAAAATAAAAGATTATTAATATACAAACTCAAATTATATTAAGACAAAGTTTTTAAAATTAAAATAATACTCAATATACTACCAATATTATCACATCTTTATTCAACATATCTAGCAATATTTACTAATAATAATTGTATTTTTTGCAATTTATATAAAGGACAATAGCATTAGTTAACTTATTCTGATACACCAAACTTAAGCTTTATGATTAACAACACTATACAACAATTTTTTAATTCTAGCAAACTAAAAATCACAAATACCAAACTACAAAAACTATATAATAAACTGTTTAATTATTAATATCTAACTTTTAACAACTATACCTTAAATAACACAAATGTTTATACAACTTTACAAAAATATATTCCTTAATTACTTATTTAAATAATCTGAGAATATACAAATTTCAACCAAATTGCAACTAATATCACTATTAAATTTTTAATAAAACTATCAGATAATATATATAATTAAATATAAAAACTATATTATACAAAACTAATCAATTGGAAGCATTAATACAATATATTTACTCAATTTGCACATACTTAAACAAATATATACAACAACTCAAACAGTACAAAATGCATATATTATTCTAGATTACTTTATGCTTGCAACTGTATTTGCAGCTTGGCAGACCAACAATATATAAGAGATAAACATAATATTTGCCTATTTATAGAAATAGCAAAAAAGAAAACATCTACTTGAATATCTAAATGAATTAAATATAGCATTTCAACCAACAATATAATTAATTATCAAATTAGTAATACTTTAACTAACAAAATCTATGTGAGCTTTAACCACTATAGTAGGTTTAAGTTGCAGATAAATTAGATTAAACTAGGTAGTCTTAGTATATCTATAATCTGAGTCTTATTCTTATAAACAGTTTATAAACTCAACCTTTGATCAAAGAAATCTCTTGTGGATTCTTAATATAAATTATAATAAAAATAAAGGCAAAAACCTTACTTTAATAAAAAAAAAAGTATATATTGATAAAAAACAGTAATCTGATTATAAAAAACCAATCAGATCACTGGATATCATGTAACCAAAACAAAGTAAAAAAAAAAAAATTTCAAATAACTCAAGACTTTATTATAAAAACCATACTTTGACTTCTAAGCAAAACTTTTTAATGTCAAATTTTACATATATCTAAACTCTTTTAATCTAATCTAAAACTAACCCTAATCCCTAACATTAAATTTATTTACTCATAATAAAAATTTTATCATATTAGGTGATATCACCTAGAGTGAAAATTAGTTATAATCTATTTTATTGCCTCTTACTATACAGTAAACAGTACTTCAACCCTTCATAAATCTACCTTTTATTGCGTGATTCAACGTGATTCAAATCGATTTTCTTAACAAAACGTTCGCTAAGAAGTTCTTTGATTAGTAAAGTATTATATAGTTGGTTTATTTTTTTAATACCCAAAAATTCTGTTTTATACTACCATTCTATAGAAATATTCGTATAACGTCGATCCCGGAAACGAATGTTCCCCTGCTTCCGACCTCTAAGTAAAAGTTTTCAGAATGAAATTTTACTTACAGAATACAATTGTTAATGTTAGATATATAGGAATTTTTGAGATACTACGACCCATATTTTTTTGGCTGGCACCTCGGGATTTTCTCAAGGGTTAGCATCGCACTGTTGCAGTGCGTTTAACTTCATATGTAATATAAAAACATCAAAAGACAAGTAAGTCCAGTGATCAAAGATAGATTTAGAAGTTAAAATCTTCGATTTTTCGGTTTGATTATTATCTTATCAGCCTGGTAAAAAATTCGACAGAAAAAAAATAAAAAAGTATGAATATTAAGAAAGTAGATTAATAAACCCGGTGAAGAAAACTTGAAAAAAAAGTTCCAAAGGCCAAATAGCATATAAGATTAGTTATTTAAAATTTGTTACGCTGAGTATCAACATCAGTATGATCACCATGAACATGATTATGATCAATAATATGATAATATGAGAAACGCAATCAATTTCATGGCACCTTGAGATTCTCATTTTGTAATTTTGTATAGCAGGATTTGCCAATAACATAAGTTTATTTATCATTATTCGAGAAAAATTAAAAGGATGGTACAATTTGAAAGCGGGTTTTCTTGCATTAATAAGTTACCGGGTAACTGATCTACATTAGCCAATCAAACGAATGTTACACCTGATCTTAAATTTTGATTGGTCAAAATTACAGAGGTGATCAATTTTTTGTGGCAATGCCTAAATCGGAAACTGTACTCGGCAAAAAAATAACAAAACAAAAAATGGTCATTATTCAACATTTTATCTATGAACCACACGAACAAAAAATTTTCCTTGAGAAATTTTAGTGTTACTAAAGCCCTTTTTAATCTAACTTAATAGTAAAACCTAACCCTAATCTAATAGTGAAATTTTTTTTAACGAAACTGAACTAAAAAAATCGGGTTAACTGGTTGGGTAAAATGGGACGCACTTATTTAAGCGAGTAATACAATCTCTTAAAAGAACATATGATCGAATATGACGATTAAGGAATTCATCCATTTTCAAATAGCGAAAAAAATGAACATGATGCATTCATTTATTATCAAAAATTAGCAGACATGGGAGGCATTCATTTATTATCAAAAATCAGCAGATATGGGAATGCTAGTGGAATGTACAACCTTGGTAACTGTTATAAATATGGAATTGGAGTTGAAAAGGATGAACATAAAGCATTCATTTATTATCAATAATCAGCAGAGATGGGGAACGTAGATGGAACATATAATTTTGAAGATTGTTATAGAAATGGATTGGAGTTGAAAAGTATGAAAATGAAGCGTTTATTACTTTCAAAAATCAGTGAAGATGGGAGGCACTAGTTATCGACATAGAATTGGGCACTGATGGAAAATATAAAGTTGGATATTATTATAGAAATGGAATTGAGTAACAAGAGACTTAAAAAGGCTAATTAATAGTACCAGGTGTAAGCTACTTTATATTATGATAATATATATATATTTTTGTTATTAATAACTAAGTTTTTTAAAAACATTTAGATCAAATAGTGGGTAAGTTTAGTTATATATTTGCTACTGCATTTGTTATTATCAAATGATTTAACATATAGCAATTAACATTTTTAGCAACAAACAGACAAATAGGTGAAAATTTAAATATTAATAACAATTGAAAAAAATACTAGTTAAAAGTGAATATTTATTATCTTGAATTTCTAATAATGAATTGTAAATTTTAGAAAATCTAGATTTGCAACAGTGTATTATACTAAATAAATAGATAAAAACTAAGAACTTAGTACATTTGTTGCACTTAAATTGCTTTATAAATTAAAAGTAAATTATGATTAATTTTTAAAAAATAAATTAATTTATGTGTAAGTTTGAAAATTTGACAATTTACATGTTAACAATTTATTAATAATTTTAATACTAAAGTTAAAAGCATATTATGATATTGGCAATAAAAATTTATTATTTTTAAGGTGCTATAGAATATCAAACAATGGTTTTTTAATAATTTTATTTTTGTTATGCAATTGTTTCTTTAAGTAGCAATCTTGTTTTTATAGCACAAACAAAATGGAAAATTACTGCATTGTCTTCTGATCTTTAAATAATACAATCTCAAGGACTTATTCACCGAGATTTGCATAGTGTCAATGTTTTGCTGAATAGTTTTAAGTGGTGAATATATTGAAGATTTAGGGCTTTTAATAAATATAGATTCGAGAGTTGAATCTCATATAGAGGTTGGAACCGGTTTTAATAATTCGGGTTTATCCCGTGATATTTTGGAAATTTATCCAATTAAATTTTTTAATAAATTCTAAAATATCACAAAATTCATGTGATAAACCCGAATTATTAAAACCGGCTCCAACCTTTAATCTCACAAGGTTTGTGGAATTTTACCATATATAGCACCAGAAGTAAGTTTTTTTTAAACTTTAAACAAGAATAACTTAAAAAATATTTAATTAAATTTATTAAAGATTTTTTAAACTTAATTCTACAAATTTATAATCTTTTTAAAAAAAATTTTATTAAATTTGATTAAATTCTTGTTAGGCTATTCTTGCTCAAAGTTGTAAAAAAAAATTTATTATAAAAAATTTGCTTTATTTCTATTGACTCACCCATATTTCTATTTAATTTTAGGTAATTGAGTATTATTCTATTTAATATTAAATGTCAGAAAACAATGCGTAAAATAAAAGGTTTCCTCTAAAATAAGTACAAGAAAGTTATGTTATGTAGATGGCAGGGGAAGTCAGTTATATCCTGTGTAGTTAGATATGACTATACTTGCTGGCCAAATTCCAAACTACTATAGTTTGTCCAGAATATATAGATATGACTATTACTTGTGCATCAGACCATTTTAAATTGTAGCAAAGTTTTTTAGAGTAAAATTTGTTACGTATATTCACATGATTAAATTTTTTTTTTCAGCTTCTATTCATGCCGACAGCTGAATCTTGTACGCATGACAATATTTGTACGTACGTATGTACGTGTCTTTAGACAGATAAAATCATGTGACAGCGGACTTCTTTATGATATAAACACCAAATCGCGATAAAGTTTTTGCTTTCTCCAACAAACTCGTTAAATTAAATTAGTCTTCGCTTAAACAAACATGAGTGAATTCGAACAAGTACCCGATCAAGAAGCCGATATTCAAGAATCAGAAGAGGAGGAGGTAATAAATAATCCTTTCCTCGAATGCTAAATACCATATTTAGATCTGTTTACATTATCTGGTAAAGCTTCAACGTTATCACAAAGGATACGATTTTTTTTTCTTTAGGAACTTTTTTATACTGAAATCGACGAACTTCAAAACCATGGAATTGGTGCTGCTGATATTACTAAACTTAAAAGTGCTGGTATTTGCACTGTGCGGGTAATTATTAACTCCCGTATACCTTGTATCCATTTAGAGATAATTAAGTAATGTTTTCTTTTACAATTCATAAAACAGGCAATTCATATGACAACTCGAAGAAACCTTTGTAAAATTAAAGGACTCTCTGAAGCAAAAGTTGATAAACTTAAAGAAACCGCCTCAAAACTTCAGGTTATTAAATTTATCACGTGTTTGGATATAATTTTTCTTAACTATTCATACTTTTTTTTGTTAATTGCAATTAGTCAGCTTCTTTCATAACTGCTACTGAATTTTCGCAAGTAAGGTCGAAAGTGATGTATATATCAACAGGTAGTAAATCACTGGATGCGCTTATAGGCGGTATATATGATTTATCATAATTAATCATTAATTACAAGTTCACTTCGCAACACTTATTTGTTAATTATTACTGCGCTTTCTGTTTTATAAAATAATGTTATCTGCCCACTTTCAAATAGGTGGTGTTCCCACTATGTCAATAACTGAAGCATTTGGTGAATTCAGAACCGGAAAGACTCAAATCGCTCACACTTTATGCGTTGTGGCGCAGCTTCCACCTGCCATGGGTGGAACAAATGGAAAGGTATTCGAATTTTTACTTAAAAATTGCTGCTTGAGTGAGTTTATTAAATTTATTGAGCTTTATTATTCTCTTTACAAAGGCTGCTTTCATAGATACTGAAGGTATAATAAATTGTTTATTAATTCTGTCATTTGATTTCATAAACTTAATAAAAATTTCAATAAAATTGCAGGGACTTTTCGTCCAGAACGCATCAAATCTATAGCTGCGCGTTTCGGAATTGACCATGAAGCTGCCCTTGAGAATATTCTTTTTGCTCGCGCTTACACTTCTGAACATCAAATGGAACTTATCATCGAGTTGGCTGCTCGATTTGCTGAAGAAAAAGGAGTATATCGATTACTGGTATATATGAACTTACTAAATTTTTTTACTTATTGTTATTCAATTACTAATATTTATGGTTGTGACTTATAGGTAATAGATTCCATTATCGCACTCTTTCGAACCGATTATGCTGGTCGTGGTGAACTTGCCGAGCGGCAACAAAAGCTTAATATTATGCTCAGCCGCCTGACCAAAATTGCAGAAGAGTTTAACGTTGCTGTTTATATTACAAACCAGGCAAAGAATTATTCTGTAAACTCATTATTTATCAAATATTCTTTTGACATATATTTTTTTCAGGTTCAAGCTGATCCTGGCAGTAATATGATGTTTGTAAGTGATCCTCGTAAACCTATAGGTGGCCACGTTCTTGCACATGCGTAAGTTGTCTTTTCGAAAATTCTGCAGTTTTATTGTGTTTGGTATTTGATTAAAGTATCTATTTAATTAATAGATCTACCGTTCGTCTTTACCTGCGTAAAGGTCGTGGTGACGAACGAATTGCTAAAGTTTATGATTCACCTGATATGCCTGAAGCCGAATCTCGTAATTATATCAGAAATTATTTATTACTTGCTTTCTCTTTTATCAAATTATATGTGTTGTTTCAATTTTTAACCTTTGTATTTTTATTTTATTTTTTTTTGTTTTGCAAAAAAATGTAGCATATACTATTTCAACTGGTGGTATTATTGACAGTTCTAGTTAATACATAATTTCTACTAAACCAATAAATATCCTACAAATTATTCACCTAAATTATAATGCTAAAAAATTGAAAATATTTGTCGCAAACACTTGCATTTCTAAAAATACACAGATGAGAAAGCTTATGTACAAATAAACTGATCAGCCAAATTTTATAAAGTGGATTTATCATTATAAAACTCTAGTTTTCATGATTTTATCATTTTTTCTTTGTTGTAAGTTAGATTTCTACTTAATATCAAATCCTATTTCATTATTGTTAGAAGATAATCAAGTCTTAAAAATATGCTTTCTATGGATATGGTAGAATACAAAATTTGAGATTTTAAAAAATGGTACGTATTGATAGAGGCATGACCTCACCTTAACATTAAAAAAAAAGGTACTATCGAATTGAGTGTAAGTCAGATGTACTTGAAAGTTCTTGTAATGTTTTCTACATATAAGGTCTAAGCAAACTTATTGAATTAGATTCTATATATACCTAAAATTATAAATGTGCATGTGTGCAAAAAAAAAAAAAGAAAGATGCACAATCATTATCACACATACATAATAAATAATATAATACATCAAACTATCGTTTCTAGAATAGATTTTTTTAACAAAATTTATTTTTATTAAAATTTTTGAAATAATAAGCATATACTGTATATATATTTGGGTTAAAGAATTTAAAAACTTATAAATTCTAATTTAATTTTTTTATTTTTAAAGTGGTTTTTTTTTCAATAGAATTTTATTAAGATATAATAGATATACTTATTCTTGAATGTTATAAAGTAATAAAAAATAAAACCAAGCTATTGTTAAATATAAAAAATACTGTATTTAAAATATTAATAAACATATAAAAAATATAACTTTTGTTTGGAGTATAGTAAAAGATCTATACTTGAATATACAGTATTTTAATAACATGTTTAGGTGGTAGATCGCAGTTGAAGGGTATAAATTTCATAGTACAGTAAAAATTACTATTACTTTCATATTATGTTGGAATGCCGAAGGTTTCTGGCAATATGTAAAAGTCATAGTTATAAAGGAACAAATACTTTATAATCTTTGTTAGAAACTCAAGAAAGGCTTACTCGACATGGGGAACTTTTCATTATAAGCTAGTTGCATTCCAACCCTAAAGAAAAGCTATATCAACTTGCTATTTTAATGCCATTTAACCATGAATTACCTTTTAAATATTTGGTATAATACATGTATTTACTAAAATTATAATTAGATAAAAACTACAACTAGACATGTAATTATGCAAATAACTGCAAATAACTGAATCACAGCTAATGCTCATGGAGTCGATGCGTTTGAGCTTTTGTATGTCTCAATTATTGAATTTTTTATTGGCCATGCTACTATTGATGATCACTCTATAAAGCTTCGAAACCTTTTGCTAAAGATGCCATGCCATAGAAAAACAATATAGCACTTTCGTTTTTTATGTATGCCGCAGGCAAGGCCTTAACATATGGTCAAAAAAGGTACGATCATGATCTAAATTCAACCTAAATGAAATCTACGCGTCTTCTTTTCTAGCAAAGGCTAGGCCGAGATTCCATGCGAGAATTTGATGCATGCTTTCTTTGTCTTCAAAGAACCCGTAATCCTATATGTACGAAAGCATCAAACAATTCGACAAAAACAACAGATAATGCTACAAAAACAAATGATACCAAACTCTACAAAAAGTACCAAAGCTATAGAAAATGGCAGAACATTGCAAGGTAAAATTATTATCCGAATAATCCATTGTGCTATTATGTCATTATTTCCTTAAACATATAAATAACCAAAGAGTTTATAACAGTAGCCGGAAAAAAACGTGATTTTCATCTCGATGAAGAAGAAGTCGAAGCAATAACTTTACGTGAACAACAAGAAGCAATGAAGAGATTAGAAGATGAACAAGTATTTAAATTAATTATGATCTATAATTTTGGTTAATTCAATTATTTAACATTACCTTTCTGTCATAGGCAGCTGCATCTAAACCAAAGCTACCTAACTTCTGGTTGGTACGCGTCACATAATTATTTTCAAATTATATTGTTGTGCTTCCTTTTGGGTATATACTTTTTTTTTTTTTACTATATTACAATTTTTATATTTTATTTTTAATGCTTGTGGCTAATTTCTTGACATTATGTAGTGGGAAAAATTTCATACCAACAAAGTTTACTGAAGACATACTAAAAAACTAGGTTTGTTTGTCCTTTATGTCGTAAAACCTTAACAAACTCTGTTAAGATTTGTTGTATGTAATAAATTATTTCATTTTAATCAGGTCATTCGTAAGATTTGTGTTAAAAACTCTATTCAGTGATTTGTTTGCGGTGAAAAATATCGAAGTAAAGATATTGTTGATATGTTGGATGAAGGGAAATTTGGTATTCATCATTTATTATATATCAGGTACTGTGGTGGTGGTACGGTGATGACAGAACTAGTGATGGGACCTCCCGCATTATTAATAATTAATAATAATTATTAACAATTGCCCCGAGTTATTAACTAAAAACTACTTAATAATGTATGGCGCAGCTAATTTGTACCAGGTTAATATAGGGCGCAGCTAATTTGTGCCGAGTATACGAAAGTTGTTAATACTTTCGTGCAATATTTTTTCACAACGTTGCCCAGATTAAATTTTATTAGGAGTAAGATGTCTAAAACTATAGACTGGTGAAATTTTATTATTACAATTTCTTTTTTTTTTTGATAAAGCGAATTTACCAAAACATAACCTTGATAAAGGTAAAGTTGCGGAATTTTATGAATTTATCGATGGCCAATATCTATGTTTATTAATATGGTTGAAGTGAACTCATGACTACTAAGATTTGAACTTAAAAAATAATCTATACATACGATTGTTGAATGTAAAAATTTAATGATTTTTCAACGCTTTTTGAATCAAAAATATCTTTGGGCGTTGGAATAGTTTCTTCATTATTTAAATCATACATATGAATATCATCTATTAATTTGTCAGATATTTGATTTAAATTAGTCATAAATTCATCTACATCGTCACCTTCATTTCCATCATCATCATTTTCATCATCACCATCATTTTCGTTGGCATCGTTATTATTATTTAATGCAAGTTTTTCGAAATTTTGATTTTTTTTTTAATAGGATTAGATTTTTGACTTATATACCAAGATACTTGTGTTATTTTTGCAACCCGTGATGGTGATAATCGATTACAACGTTCTGTATATATATTACCTAATAAGGACCATACCCGTTCAGAAGTTGCAGAGTTAGGTGGAATTGACAAAAGATGACAGGCAAATTCACTTAAATTTGGTGTTATGTGAAGCATAGTATGCCAGTATCGTAGTGGAAATCTTGTAAAGCTTGGACTTTGAATTGATGATGCTGAAAATTGACCTTTTTGACTTGCATAATTTAGCCATTCATCAATAAATTTATCCTAATCATAATCTGGATAAAAAGAACAAAACAAGCTGTATGCAGTTTCTTGAATATATAAAAGCTATGTCAGATTTAGTCCTTCACCATGATGATATAGATGCAGAAACCATGTAATTAAATAAACCAGATTATAAATTTTTTCCCAATGATTATCAATTTCAAGGATTAACAAGTTTTGAAAATCATTATTAGTAAATGAGTTTTTACAAATAATTTCACGAAGCCAGGTCCATGATGCAGCCACTTGACCCAATGTAACTGTTTCAGTTTCAAGAATTTTTATAACATAATCATATGGTTTTAATAATGTATGAAATAATTCAAGATTTATTCAGAATTCGTTATTATTAATAATGCCAATAAGATTATTTTCTTGTGAAATTAGACAAGATGAATGCATAAGTGTGATAACCTAAAATATTATAAATATAAATTATGTTAATTCAGAAGCAAACCCAGTACACGTTTTCGAATGTGGCTATTATAAATAATAACTACTATGAATATATTTTTAAAATTTATCTTCAAACTTGTTTGTATTTGTAATATAGTTTCTGATGCTTTTGTAAAATGTTGTCCAACAGGTAATACATAGATATTGAGGCTTTAAAGTTTCATTAGAAGTCAATTCTCTTAATTTAGATAATGCAATGTTTGAATTTCGAAAATAGTTAATAATTATTAACATCTTTTTAATAACAGGTTTAAAAAATGATGATTCAACTATCTTCTTAACCAACAAGTTGGTTTGATGTGCCATGTATGGGATCGTTAAAATTTTATCACCAAGATTGTGATCCTATAATATGCATTACAATAGAATTAATACAGTTTATAAAAAAAAATAATAATTACTGTATTTATCTCATGTATAAGACGTTACGCCTTTTTGAAATTGGGCCCACTATCTGAAATAAATGCTATCCATTTGTCTAAACCAAAATTCATTCCAATTTTTTTATATATTTTAAATATATTATTACCCATATGATGTAAATGAGAATAATTATCTATTTTAAAAATTTGACTTTCATGTTTTTTATTTGTTACAATAAAATTTAGCATACTATTTTTTGAAACATTTGTCTAACTGTTACTAGATAATGTTAAAAACATTGAATCAGATACAAAACATTGAATATTACACTGTATGTTTTCATATATATTGTCCAATATATCTGTACTTATCTATTTACGAGATGGAAGCTTATATTCAGGTTTTAACATATAAAATAATTTAATTACTTCAGCATCTTCTACAAATGATAATGGTGCATTGGTCAAAATTAATGTTTTAAGCAGTTGACGATTAATAGACACTTTTTCTCTAATAGATAATGTAACAGATTCAATTTCTTGATTATTATTTGTATCTGTATTATCATCAGTATCAGTTTGAAATGATGAGTTATATATTCGTAACTTTTTTACTTTTGTATTTTTTAAAATATCACTAATACTATCACGTTCATCTTGATTAATATCTTCGTACTTTTCTAATAAATGTTTTTCCATTTTTGAGGATTCGCTAGGACATTTTGTTTTGCAGAAATCACATTGAGCCAAATAATGTGAACTATTAAGCTTATCACCTTTCTTGAACCATCGTCAAATTAGTTTTTTTTTTCTTCCAAATTTGTGTTGAGATGACATTCGAATATTAATAATTCAAAATTTTTCAATGAACTCAAAAGTTATTTATTGCCGTTATTATTTTTATATACAATTAAACAATTACAATTCTTCACCAATTATTCGTTGCCAATTATTTCGCTAACAGATTATTTATTTTACATTACGTCTAGTGATAATTAAATAAAATATATACCTGTAACTAATAGAATGTTAAATTGTTACATGTGTGTCGAGTAAATGGTCTGTCAACGAGTACCAACAATTACATATCATCTGCAATTATTAAAATGTTTGCATATTAATTTTTAACAATTACCAAAATTAATAACTATTATTAACTATTATTAACTAATTATTAATTTTTTTATTATTAACTAAAAATTCGGAGGTCCCATCACTAGACAGAACGTTTCGATGTTTCATCTCAATAAAGTTACTGTTTATAGATCATTCTATTATCGTTATATTATTCGCATCAACCATAATATATACTAATATTACAATAAATTTGATAGTGTTACATATGATAGAGGTATTTGATTCATAATTAATTCTGCTACATAAAGTTGGAAACGCAGTTCTTCGTCGAATTCTCATATGTGCATTAATTCATATGTATTGCCTGAGTAGTCTAGTCCAGTCCGTTAATTAACTGATCTATCCAGTTGCATTAAAAATATTTATATTGAATTTATTAAATTTAAAATTGCGAACAATCAGTCTTAACAGATTTTTATAACAAATAATACGAATTAGTACATATTCAATTTAAAAATCGACTACATAAAATTTTCTTCTACGTATTAGCGTAAAAAATCTTATAAATCAACTACATTAACTTGTATATAAATCAACTACATTAAACTTATATATAAATCAACTACATTAAATTATATACAAATCAACTACATTAACTTATATATAAATCAACTACATTAACTTATATATAAACCAACTACATTAACTTATATATAATTCAACTACATTAACTTATATATAAATCCACATCCATTATTTATAACATACGTACACTGGCAACACGTAATAATTTTTATAATAAAACATAGTAACTATTGAAATTTTCACTATAATAAAAATTTTTAGAAAAAATTTTTAAACATAATTTTTTTACATCGGAATAAATTTCATCAATTGTAATTTCTAAAAAAGATTTTTTTCAGATTTTTAAAAAATATTTATGGCAAAGTTGTTCTAAGGTCGAAACCCTAGCAAAAAAATTTATAAGTAATATTTATAAATTTTTTTTTACTAGGGTTTCGACCTTAGAACAACTTTGCCATAAATATTTTTAAAAAATCTGAATAAAATATTTTTTAGAAATTACAATTGATGAAATTTATTCCGATGTAAAAAAATTATGTTTAAAATTTTTTCTAAAATTTTTTATTATAGTGAAAATAGTTACTATGTTTTATTATAAAAATTATGACGTGTTGCACTTAAATAGATAGTATACAATATAGATTTTACACATTTTACACTCTAAATCCTCTGAAGTGTAGAGTTCATCTTTTTAAATAATAAATTTTTATAAGTCCTGAAGAGCTTACTTAGAGTCGTCCATACCATAAAATGTGCCTATGGAATTTAACGCTATATACGGTACATAGTTAAGAATTAAGGTAAAAACGTAAGTATAAGAATTTTTTATACGTAAGTAACTGCCATCATAACAATATCGACCAATCAGATGAATGTCCTATGAAACTAACATCTTGTGCGACGATATATATTTAAATTATTAGCATAGATTTTTTTTTTTTTTGCAAGTAAAATGCAGAACGAACAAGGTACTCAGTTTGATCTTTATCCGCCGAGGAAATGGTTAGATTGTTATAACTTTTTGTCAAAATCTTCTCGAATACATCCACTTGAAACAATTAGTTATCTCGAAATGAAAACATTTCTGGTAACAAGAGTATTATTATTTTCAATACAGCTCTGCGACTAATCGTCTAATCACGGCAAAAGACCATGCGTCCGTTCAGATCAATGTTGGAGAGGTTGACGACAAAGGACGCTTCACAAATACTTATACAACCTATGCATTGTGCGGTTTTGTTCGTTGTTCGGGTGAATCTGATGATTCCTTGAACCGGTTAGCTACAAAAGACGGCTGTGAGTTTTACATAATCACTTTTGAATTTGTTGTTTTCAAAAATTTTGCTAACGACAGGTTTCATTCTTTTTGTTATTAGTTCTTAAGAGGTAAGAGTTGCTTGCATGTTTTAATCACTATTATGTTTAAACTATGCTGACAATTTTCTTTTAAAGTGTTTGGACATACCAACGTTAAAAAGTTATGCAGCGTCATCATATTACTGTGCTCATAGATTTTTTGGCTTGCTCATGTCATGAATGTTTATGTGTCATAGTATATGCTATCAAAAATATATGTAAGATTTAGTGATAAACATTCTTAATATTTTAAATCAAGTTATAATAAATTTTGAGTTATTAGTATTTCCTTTTAATATAACATACATAATTTTGCAATATTGACCTATGATCTTAAATGAACTATATAATTTTATGATGTTTTTTAATATAGTAAGAATCATAACAAAAAATTTTTTTTATTAGCATTTAATAAGACTAATATGATTATAACCAAAAAGTCATGATTATATAACCAAGGTCATATAGAAAAAAATTTTATGAATTAGGTCATCAGCCAATACTGTAATTTTGTACACATGTTTATTGAAGACACAGCTCTAAGGCCTGCTTCAAGATTTTGAGCCATTTACCGGTATTTTATTGGTATACTCATAGCCGGCCGTTAAACTGCATCGCTATCTATTCGCCTTATATGAACAAAAAGATCATTTATATTATTATTTGGTATGATTAGAAACGAATATCTTCGATTCATCTTGGTGAGACAAATTGAATGTTATAAAGACATTTTGATAGATTCTGTGTTAACTTCAATATGTGATACGCAACTTTATTCATCTCGTCATATTACCCCCTTTTTACCTTATAAAAGTCAAAATTTTATTAAATAAATCAATACAATATTGGCATATTAAGTAAAGTTATTCAAAGGAGCAATATATGTTTCCTAAAAGCTTGATACAAATTAACTTTTGGCTTACAAAAGGCTGAGAACCGATTTTAAAATTTGGATCTGAACCAAACTTGGATTTGGAACTTACTATATAAAAACTGGTTCTTAGGTTTTTAATTTAGAATCTAACCTAAAACAAACCTAAACTAACTTTACCATCCTTATAGCGGATAATGAATGAATGTCATCGACTCATCGCCTAGAGACTCAGTTCCGCTTTCCAAGCGACGAACAACCTTACCGGGCATTGGCAACTTCGATCCTATTATATAAATCATTTCCCTAAGAATATCCATCTCAAATCGATCTTCACAATCTTCTATAATCTTAAACATTAATTATAATAATTGGTTCAATACAAAAAAAAAAAAAATTGAAAATATGAAACTTTGCAAATATTACCAATTCCAATTCAGAAATACTTTGGGGTCTTAAATTAATAAGCTGTAATTTTTCTGATTTAGTGAGATTATATTGTTTAAGGTGAGTTAAAGTTGCCTCGATTTGTTCAGGTGTTTGAGTTGACGAAGGAGATTGTTGTGATGACAAATTTTGGATAACCTTGTTGACAATGAAAGGTTGTGATCGAAATAATTTTACTCTGATCAAATCCTTACATAATCAAAAGTAATCACACGATAAGTTTGTCTAAACTCACTTCAAATTGTATTGTCTTCAAACTTTCGGCAAATTTGACGTTCGGATCAATTTTAGTTTGCTCTCGTTGCTTTTCATCCATTTCTCTGAGAAGTGCTAACACTTCATAATTCGAAAGCATCGCGTTTCGTTTATCAATGATCTTGAATAATTTAATTTTAAATTAAATTCAATTTTTTAGTAACGTTTTTTTTTCCTATCAACTATCTTGGAGACAAACCATTATTTTTGACCCATCCTGAAAAAAAATAATACACATCGGTTTTGACCCATGTGATCAATAGATATAACTATGCAACGTAAAACAAACTTCGTTTTGCTTTATTAAATATACGGATTGATTATTCTTGTTAACTGAAACTTTTATTTATTTCGTTGTATATGCAATTACTAAGACAAATTTTTAATAAACTAGTAATTTTTTTTAACTTAAATATAATGTTTTTTATAAACTAATTATTATAAATTTTGGAGTTCAAATAATAAACCTTTAACATTAAAGGCTATACATCTAATTAAAAAATCACTGGGTTTACAAGCGTCCGAAAATCATTTGTATTTTTGTTTTTATTTTATTTTTTTTCAGGATGAGTCAAGAAAAATGTGTCATGTGTGTCGAGAAAAATGTTTTTACATCTTGAAGAGTTAAACCTACATGCATCTTTAATTTTGTAGAGATCACTACCGTGTATGACTAATTTTTGCGGTATTTATAGGCATGATGTTGTACTACAAATGCTGCAGATCATGAGATAAATTTCTCCACGCGCGTTATAGACTTTCAACGCGTTTACTTTATATCGTTGTATTTAATCTAAATCTTGCAAGTAATATTATTTAACACAAAATGGAGTATGGCAACAATGGTGATATGTGGTGTTTTCCTATACTAAAGGACGCCGAGATTGAGGAATTTTTTAAAGAACTTTCAATAGATTTTACCTCTCAAGATATGAAAAAACCTACTACAGCTCGCATATTCATTGCTTTCGGCTTCATAGTAGAGTATACAACGGGAGCAACAGCAGAAGAATGGGGTGATACCGATTGGTCTGGCTATCTAGAAATGCGATTGCGTAAAAGAGCTCCGGGTTACGATAGACCAGTATGTTATGCTATTTAATTATTACCATTTGATCAATAAAGTGATTTTTAAAAAAATTTGTAGGAATTTTATTCTGAGTCGATGAAAATGATGGCGATTTACAAACGAATGTAAGTGTTGAATGGTTGATATTTCTACGTGTAACAATCCTTTAAATAATGATTGCTCCTATTTAATAGGAAAAAAGTTATGGTAGCCATAGGAATGGAAGCATTTTCATTTAATGATATTCTTAGGCCAGAAGTATCTCGACTTCGCATATTTCTTAGTGCTGCTATTAATTTTATAAGATTTCGTGAAGATCAATTGCACATTTTTAACGAATATGAAAAACATTCCGTAATGCATATATATATATATTCTTTTTATAGATCAAAAGAATCAAATCTAAATATTCTTTTTAAATTTTATAAAGGAGGATCTTATGAAGCACAATGAAGAGCTATCTGAACGATACAAGATGCTTTTTGAACATGTTGAAAGATCTAAGTCAGTCAAACTTATTTTATTATTTACATGTGAAACTAGTCTCTAAAGTATTTAAACAAACAGGCAAAAACGTATCGAAGAAGAGAACGAAGTTAAAGAATATTTGCAAGAAAATTCTAACCTTATGAGCAGCATGCGTGAATTGAAAAAGAAACAGACAGGTCTATTAAATGAGATAGCAACTTTAAAAAACGCAAAGGGTGAATCAGAAGAAAAGATCGTAAATATGACATAGAATATTATATATACAACTTCTTTAGATTTTATCACATTAAGATTGAATGTTCGTTCATTATTCATAGAATAACACACAGTTCTTGGTGGTGACTGCAAAGCAAGTTCTTGAGAAGCTTAAGAGTCGTATTGTAGTCAACCCTGAAAAACTAAAACAGGTTTGAAATTGGAGGTATCCATGATTCAAAAAAAAAAAGTTCAAATACTCAATTAAGCCAATTGTCTTCTTACTAGACAATTGAAGAGATGAATCAGACCATGTCAAAAGAAAAGGACGCGATGCTTGGACTCGGAAAGAAAGTCCGTGAAATTCAATCAAAGGTTGACAATTTGTCCATTGTGGAAGAGGTAACGATTTTTACACATTTTGTGCAAATCATCTCAGAGAATAGAGCGCTTATATAATTCAAATTCAGGAAATAACGGCATGCAATAAGATATTGGATGAGGTCATCAACCAAAGGAATAAATGTGAAAAAGTGAATAAAGACTTACGGGATCTTCAGGAAGAAATTGAGAATAAGCGTCAGCATTCACGTGAGTTGCAAAAGAAGGAACAAGTAAGTAGAATTTTTAATTGATTTTCGTGATACTTTGATTTACTAAAATTGTTCGGGAAATTTGTAACCGATTTATTCGCTATTTTGCTTTGTTATGATATTACAAGTTATTGTCTCGACAAAAACAAAATTTGGAAGATAGACTTCAGCGTCAAAGAGAAAAGCATAAACAGAGGGTTATAGAAACTGAAAAGAAAATCGAAACATTACAAGCAGAGTACGACCAAATCTTAGAGGAACGCAAAGATTCTGAATTGAAGGCAGCCCAACAAAAGAAAATTTATGACGAGACATCAGCAAAAGTAAGGATTTCATTAAATACTGACAATTATAGCTTGTGAAATAATTATGCCATTTTAACGCTATTCGAATGAATCTATTTAGTGTACAGACTTATTTCAATCATGGAATAAAGAGAAGGTTGAAATTGAATCCGAATTCAAGGCTCTAAAAGATAGAATAGAAGGATACCACCAAGAGATTCTTTTAACTTGTAGAATTAATGTTTCTTCTAACTAAATAAAAAAAACTTTACATTCATAATTAATCTTAACTTGGAATTTTAAATAAGTAATACGTAGCAAGTAATGATTTTGATATCTTGATTTCATAACAAAACTTTTAAAAAGACCCAGTCGGGTTATGAAAACCATTTAATTAATTTATATGCCTTACATTTAAAACCCCATCCGTAGGCAGTCGATATTTATTTACTGTAAATAGTGTTGCCAATAGACATGTATGACAAAAAACAAAATGTTAGCAGCTCAAAATTCTATTATGACAACTTGGTTTAAAGCATTATCATTCAATTTTACAATTGTTAATAACATATACAAGATAAATTATATGGACATCCAAAAAGATTTATGAAGACTAAAAAAATATTATCTAAAATGTCACTACCCTTATTGGGATTAAATCTTTTAACGTTAGATCAACCAATAAAAATACTTTCTATGCTACGATTGTAAAGCCAGTTTGTTTTACAAGAAAATGAGATTGAGGATTCGAAATCAAGATAAAGTTCATATTATTAATGATTTAACCGCCACGTCAACTGTGTTTGAACTAAAAAGCGCAATTCATGCGTTAAGTGGAATTAATCCTCATCGACAAGAACGTAAGATCTTTTAAAATCTAAACAGCTCAATTCAATCATTCCACAACTTTGATCGAATCCTATGTCTATAAACAGTTAAAATAGGATATCCACCACGAGTCTGTGGTGCGAGAGACGATGAAACCCTATCCTCCGCAGGTATTCAAAATGGAGACCAAATTATTCTTAGTGAAAATGCCCTACCAGAAACAACTAGCCAACCTGTTGATAAGATTGCTAGTTCTTCAGGGGCGGAAATTGTATCAGTTCCTGTAGAAAGTGGATCAGTTATTTTAAGAGTATGCTATTGTGATTCATAACGACATTTAAAACATTCATGAATACTGTACGTATATGATAATGACGATGAATTCAAATATTTTCATTAGGAAATGGAAGATGATAATTCATGCTTATTTCGTGCAATCGGTAAGCCCATACAACGATAAATATAATTCTTATTATTTTTAAAATTTTTAGTCACTTAACATACTTATTTGATTATTTTAATGCATATGAACGTCAGGGTATGGAAATCTTGGTTGTCTTTCATAGTTATCTCTGCTGATACAAATACCTAATTGTTTTACTTGCATCAAAAAGTTATGTTTTGGAAAGATCAATCGATATTCAGAATCTTAGAAATAGTAAGATTTTGCTATCTGTTAATTTGTACTTATTCATATGCCGACCATAATTTTCGTCAATCATTAAATGATTTGAATTATTTTAGTTGTTATTAAATGTATAAAGGAGGACCCGGAGACTTATTCCGATGTAATTCTTGGAAAATCGCGAGATGATTATTGTTCATGGATCGCGCAGAAGAATAGTTGGGGAGGGGCTATCGGTAAAATAATATATTCCTTTCTTTATTGTTTGGGTTTGTTTAAAAGTTATTTCTTGGTTAACTTTAATTAATTTAAGTTTAGAACTTTCAATTTTTGCATCTCATTACAAAGTTGGTAAAGATTCTTATAATCAACAAGATTAAAATGTATATATATTATTCATCAAGAAAGTTTCGTAACTAAATTCTAAATTAAAGAAATTCGTAGCGTCGATGTTAAATCCGGAAGAATTGATCGATACGGTAGATTGAGTTTTGTCATTTATTCACGAAAAATCCGAAAAATTTCATCACATTTTCAATTTTCTCCGCAGGTCATGGCATCTATGGCCAATGTGTATATGTGATATACAGGTTCGTGGTGGGCATATTCACGAAAGCTTCAATACCAAAAAGTGCGTCTTTACTATACTAAATAATTCATTTTTTTCAGTGGTATACGTACGTAAGCATTGACTAGTGCGATGTTATTACTTGTATTGAAAAATTGAAGAACATAATTTATTTTATCAAAGATTATGACTCAGTCGCTCTAACTCCAATAATTGGTGCTGACCAAGAATACGATCAAACAGTCTTTAACACGTCAGATGAATACATTTTAAATGCGGTAATCAAGATTGCCGAGAAAATGAAACAGGTAATTCGTAAATTAATTCTGAGCATTTTCTAAAATGTAAATGTACATATTCCATTTATACCGTATTCTGCTCGTCGTACAGTTGCGTAAATACACGTACACTGCTGATTTCACTATACGTTGCGGGCAATGCCAAAAAGGTTTGAAAGGAGAACAAGAAGCTATACAACATGCACGAGAAACAGGTAAAATAGTGATATAATTTTTTTTGGTTTGTTTAATTGAATAGTGACATGAAGAATGTAATTTAATGATGATAGGTCACACTTCTTTTACCGAGTATGATGGATAAAAATATTTCTATATAAATAATATTGTTTTAATGTAGACTATTATTTTCTTTGAGAAATGATAATTTATTAAAATCATTTGATGATTGATATTTGAATTTAAATCCTAAAATAAAACTATGACAAATTAGTGGTTAAACTTACTCTAAATTACAAATGAAAAATGTATTCGATTTTTGAGTAGTATAAAAAATGTTTTTCATTCATGCTATTCTTTGAAAAAATGATGATCTGATTGGTGTAGATCATACAAATGATGTAATTACGTCATTATAACATGATGCATGTTAGAATCAAAACAATACTTTTCTTGCATTTTGTTTTTTATGCTTTTCAACTTCAACCCTTTAACAAACCCTTTTATTGTAATATATACTATTACGCGGATATGCAGATACATACAGAGTAATGTATCATAGATATCTAGGTTGTTTTTATTAATAAATACTGCAACACGTCTGCGAAACAAGTGGAAGAAAGAGCTAACGACAGCATAATTCATAAATATTTCGAGCAAAAGACTACAGATTGGAGTATCCGAGGGTTCTTGGATGAATGCGAAGAAAAACAATTCAAATTAAAAATCTAAGCTTATCACTTTTCACTCAAAAACATCATTAAACAAAGAAAATTAAATCATAGACATGGTAAAGTGCTTTTATGGCGGGTTTATTATGATACAGTAACTGAGTAGAATGTTGATAAAGTTGACAGCTCTTCGTGGCCACAGTAACTTCGTAGCGCCACAGTTACTGTGAACGTTCTTGCTTAGTTTTTCAATTATGATACTATTTATTTATTTGTTTGTTTTAATATAGGTTATATTACACAAGACCGATCAAGATCAACGAATTTCTACAAGACCAAACAATTTCGATCATAACTGAAAAGCTTGACGTTTTACTCGTTAAAGAAACCAGAAGCAAAGTTTAATGAAATTGATTTTTTAACTAGAACAAAAGTTGTATTATATATATTTTTAATGCTAATAAACTTAAATTGGGATTATTTAAAGTTGCGATTTTTATATATAAAAAAAAATTTATTACTTTTTTAAAAAGCTTTTTTGTTGAGATTAATTTTTAATCAAAAATAATTGTTTTTAAAATCATTTACAATGTATCGGTATGTAATTTAATAAATTTATGAAATAACATATGTTAATTCGAAACCACTTAATAAAGAATGTAAAGTGTAAAAAAATAAAATGTAAGAGTTTTAAAATATGATTTGCCAACATTTTATTATCGAAAGTCACAATCAATAAATCAAAATCATCGTTTATTACTTAGTATACATGCCACAGAAAGTATTTCGACATAATTTCCACCAAGGTTGCCTGCCGTAATAGGTTTACTGGAGTTGAAAGGTTGCAACCTTTCGTCTCGAAGTTGTAATTTTATTCGTAATAGGTGCAATAGCCGTAATAGGTGTAATTGTTGGGTGACGAATGACGAAATATTCGTCATTGACGAATGACGAAATATCCGTCATTGACGAATGACGAAATATCCTTTATTGCGAATGACGAAATATTCGTCATTGACGAATGACGAAACCACTTCGTCAGGCAACTTCGAGTGATAAAATGACGAATGACGAGATTCATGACGAATATTAAATTTTTATGTAATATACAGCATTTTTTACATAATAAATGCAAGAAAAATAGAAAATACGACGATAACTACCTATTTTGGCATATCACATAACGGTAACGATAACTACATAATGATTTTAATCACCCGGATTACTATGTTCATACTGTATGTACCGATGAAATTTATGAAATAACTTTAGTCTTGAAAAAAAACTTTACAATTACAATATCCGAGGTCGTTCTAATCACCCATCATTGTAACGCTCTACAGTCACAGTCACACTAATCAGATATTAACAAGATTCTAAAATAGATTACTGAATTAAAGAATATGAATTGCTAATTTCTAAAAAAAACCAAGTATGTACTGTACATATGTACTAGGGCCACCGAATTCTAGCAATAACACGAGCGATATCGTGAAAACCACATAACCAAATCTGTCCAAAATTTGGTTATTTTTATTCTACAGATGTATAGAATTAAAATAAAACAATTTCGGTCGGATTTGGTTATGTGGCTGTCACGAAATCGCTACGTAGTGTTATTTTTCCGGTGGCTCTGATACGTACTGTACTATGGTGGTAATTAAACTAAGTAAATTAAAACTATATTAGCAATATTAGTAATTTTACTATGACTTGATTTTAACCAGTGAAATTAAAATAATTGATTAAATATCATATTGATATATGGGGTCTTTGCCTTGAAAATGACCCTACGGGACATAGTAATTACTAAATCCTATAAGGTCATTTTCAAGGCATAGACCCCATATAAATAACGCAAAATTTAAAAAACATACCTTGACATTGCACTTTTTTGCTAATTTCTTTTAATTGAAAACTCTAACTCTTTGCAGAAGTCATCTCTAAAAAGTTACGCTCGATTTTTGCAACTAATCTATCTTAACTTACTCTAACTTAATATATATATATATTCTTATACCGAATATTATACCCTATAAAGATTATTAGAAATTTTCTTATAAAATTAATTACTTTAAAACGATGCAGCTTAATGAAACCCAAAAATTAACTTGAAATTTTCACAAGTAACTTATTAGATGTTAGAGAATAAAGTTATGCTTTCGGTTTTCTATTAACCCATAAATTTGAATATTTGTCTATAAATAATTTAAATTTCATTAGTTAAAGTAAAAAAAATCATAATTAAATGTACAAATCGAAGCTTTATTAAATTTTTAAAAATGTAATTATATATAAAATTAGATGCAGAATTTTTTTTTTTTTTTTGGTATTAAGGTGACCTCTTTGGTCTTTTGATTTTTATTAATCACTTATCGGTATTGTGGTTCAATGAACCATTACAGGAGAGCATACAATTGGTTACACATGTAACTTTTCTATATTACTTATTTAAGGAGTCCACCCAAAGGTTCCTCACCAATTGTTGTAACTAACGCCCCTGCTTGGGTGTTCCACTTTAAACCTTTTGAACCTATAACCTGTGTTAACATCACTGAGTTATCTCAGATGCTCAGATCATTATCTTAACCTTAATACTAATTTATCTTCGAGGTAAACCTTCCAGAGTTTTCTGTATTCATTTTTACAATTGATCTAGGTATTGCTATAGCAAAACCAACACTTGTGATCAGGGTTGATCATTAAATTGTTATGCCTTTGTAGAGTTCACACAAACTTCAGCATTTACTTCACAGCATATCCAAAATACTTTAGTATATCTTTGTTGATTTACCAAACTCCCAATCCAGATAGTCTGATAGGACTTATGACCAGTCTATTGATATATCAGATCAGCCTGATATCCTTTTCCTTCGTCTCGATCTGGTGGTCTGGTTGGTGGTACCTTCTATCTAGAGGTTTTTGCCTGTTCAGCTACTTCGATCTTGGTATCTATTTCATAAGGCTAGTCTTTACAGTAGGGTCGTCGAAGATCTGGCTACCTCTCTACTTAGGTCTTCTCAAATAAACTTCTTGTTATCTAATTTCAATGGATTTATATGACCACAAGGACTTATCTAGTATTTGCATTACCTAATTGCCAGTTTGCATTTCTTCATATAACCATAACCTTGTCCCAAAGGACAATATCATATGACTTGTTACATGAATGTTCTGTGATCTGCCAGTCATGCTGGTATGACCACCATTACAGATATTCTAATCCAATCATTAATAACAGTTGTCATAATACAAGTATTACATAGATAATTATTTACATTTTCGTCATCGATGAGATTTGAACACCCAATTTACCACTTGGAGGGTTGACAACCTAACCACTTCACTAGGTCACCACACCCTATGCAGAATATTTTTACTTAAAGCACCTCTATCAGTTTTCTTAATAAAATTTTAAAATATACTAATTTTGTGTTTTTCTTAAACTTTACTAAATACAAATAGAAATTCTTTTTTAATAAATATATAAAAAAGGTTAATAGAAAGCAGGCAAAAATTTTTTATATAAGATGATTTCAAATTTCAAATTAAAATACTTTAACAATTATTAAACTAGATAAAAAATTTTTTATTTTAATTTTATATAATTATAAAATTAAGAGTAAAGTGTAATATTTTAAAATTATATATAAACTTGATAGTATATTTTTTTTGTAATTTTAATTACAAAAATTTTTACTAGCTTAATATTTTTTGAGTTATTAAGTAAAGTTATAAACTAGGTTCTTGTGATTTTAACAGTAGTAAAATTATTAAATTTGATTTAAAACTTATTAATATATAAGAGTAAGTTAATAAAAAAAAGTTAAATCATTTTAGTAAAATTTTTTTAATTTTTAAATTTAAATAACTCAACAACTATTTAATTAAATCTGTTAAAAATTTTTTTATTTTAATTTTAAAATTATATAAAATTAAAATAAAAAAAATTTATCAAATTTAATAAAATAGTTGTTAAGATATTTAAGCTTAAAGTTAAAAAACTTTTTATTTAAAAAAAATTTGATCTTTTTCTATTAACTTTCTCTTATATTAATTTTTAAAAATTAAATATAAAAAGTTACTATTAAAATTCTCTTATAGTTTTTTAGAAATTAGCCAATTAAAATTAATTTTTTGTATAACTAATAAAAAACATCAACACAAATTGTCAACTCTTTCTAATAATCATTTGTACCAAAATTCTGCTAAAGAAAATTTAATTTTTTTTAATAATTTATAATTAAATATATCTTTTAAATAAAATAAATCTGTTTTTTATAGAAAATGTAGTGACCTAGTGAAGTGGTCAGGTTGTCAACCTCCTAAGTGGTAGATTGGATGTTCAAATCCCATCGATAGCAAAAATTTGGATAATCACTTATATAATATTCATATTATGGTAACTGTTACTAATGATTGGGTTAGAATATCTGTAATAGTAGTTACACCAGCATGACTGCAGGTCATGGAG